CAGGAATGGAAAGAATCATCATCATAGCAATGGAAGGAAGGAAAAAATAGGAGAGAAAGGAAATAGTGATAAAGGTAGGAAACGGACAATATATGTAGAGGTTGAGAGGATTGAAAAGGAACATGAACAAGATGAAGATCTCTAAGTAGAAGCTATGAGTTTTCACACGAATATGGAATTAGGATCTGTTTCTGCTGCAGCAGTGGGCAGAGAATGCTCTTCAAACTTCAAATCTGCTCTCTGAAAAAGAAGTAATGAAACCAGAAACACATCAAAGCTGCCAGGCACCAGCAGGACACGCTTGCAGAACGCAGCGGTGAGGACACCTTTGTGGAAGCTTCCTTTGCCAGGCAGCGTGCCCAGACGAACGCTTATGGAGACAGACTAAAGTAGTCTGGTTACGCTACCAAAGGGCCCAGACAGAGACAGGAGGTGGGAAAAGAGCTGCTCAGAAAGCCAAGGTATTGAATAACAGCTGCAGCAGCCACTGGAGTTGCCCGAAGGGAAAATAATATGAGGCACGGGGGCAAGGCAGAGGTGCAACGTGCAGTTCTCTGCCTTTGAAGCCAGGCAGCTTCCTGCCGTCAGAAAGCTCTCTGTGACTCACTGGAGCGAAGGTGAGGTTGCCTTTCTACTGGTAATCCTAACAGATCTTCAAAACCAGCAGGAAAATTAAATCAGCAACATTAAAATCCAATCCAAACCTACAACATTTGATTTACATAGAAGTAATCATAACTATTGTCAACAGAGACAGGCAAACAGGCACTTAGGAATTTCTACTTGCTTGGCGTATGCTGGACAAAACCCACAAACATTTAAATATTCGAGTTTTATAAAAACAACAGCACTGAAAACTTTGTCCTTAAAGCATGTCATCTCTGAGCTGCAATTCTTAGTCATCTCTCTAATCTTGACACTTCCTGCAGCAAGCTTTGGTAAACTTCCTCTTTGGTTGCAAAAAGCCTACTTCAACATCTAACAAGCCATTTCAAAGCTGCTAGCCTTAAGAGTACTGGTCTGTCTTCCTTACGCTTCAAACGAGAAAGGTAACACACTGATTGATTTTTAGAAGATAAATGTGCAGGTAAGAAGCAATTTTGAGATGCAAAGCTTTAGCATTTGTATTGGTATTTGCTTTGAAATGAAACTGTGCTGTTGGAGTTACATGCAACGTTTTACACTTGGCTCCTTGCTTTACGGCGCGTTCAAAGCTTGAGCAGAGTATTTGCACCTCCCCTGTACTGAGACACCGAGGACATTCCATTGCTAGGACGTTGCCACTAGGAGCCACTCCAAACGCCACACGTGAGTATTACCTGAATATACTTTGAAAGGAGGGGAGCAGAAGAAAACGAAATGGAAATATTTCTGTGTGTTACAAATCAAATAGTTTTGATCATAATGTTCTCATAAGGTTTAATTTACTACTTATATGCACTTATATTGTTGCATCTAAACATAACCAGCGCTACAATAATTAATGATTTGGCTCAATCTGTATGAAGCTAACCCTACTTAGTGGCATCAGAATGCAGTTACATTATAGTTGTTGGAACCTTTGAAAAAATATTATGTTCTAAACCTTAACTGGGAAAGAGGTAAGAACAGGAAATGCTGAGAGGTGTCAGGAGCTTCTCAGATAATTCTCTGTGTGGATCCCACACAGCTCTGTGTACAAGGGAGGACGATCCCCTGTGTTCTGGTGACAATCCTCTTTGGCAATACTGTTGTGACAGTGTTTCATGTTTCAAGTGCATAACTCTTCACGTGTCTGATAAAAGGAGTTTTTTATAGTTAGTAGTTAATTTTATTTTTACTACTATAATATTACTACAAAATTGTTGGGGGAGGGTGTCAGTAAAATGCAGTTATGCAAAAATGCAGTTTACAACAGCCCTATTTTTTTTCTCTATTTTATTGCTGCTGTAGGAGGGGACATATTTAAACAGGCTTTGAGAAAATGACCAGCAAGCAGGTGACGGCGGATCTGCACGTGTGGAGCTCGCGCTCGACAGAAGCGCCTCTGAACTCCTCCACGCAGGAGGCAACCACACCTGCCGGTACCAGGGGCGCAGGTGCGACGGATATGTCACGTTCCATGACACCAGGCCAGGACAAGGTTCCCATGTCCTCATCTCAGGCACCAATGCCCGGCTTGCACCTCCCCGAGACCTTCGACACCCCCAGCGCGGCCCCTGATGGAACCTGGCTAACAGCGCTCTTAATTGGCACAATTTTGACTACTATGATAGTGGTTATTGCCATCATTTTTCTATGGAAATGCTGCAAGAAGCCTCTGCTCACGGATACGAATTGGGCAGGGCGCTCGCCGTTCGCCGACGGAGACGTGCCAGAGGTGTTTGCGGAGCTCGAGCAGCCCAACAAGCGCTCGTCCATCCTCTCCATGCTGCCCTGGAAGCTGAGGCAGGAGGCGAGTGCAGCGGGCGGTGCGGCCAGCCCGCCTGAACGCGGCCCCGAGGGCCCTGGGCCTCGCACGGGGGAGGCCGGGGCAGCGAGCGCCATCGAGGAGGCCGGGGCGGCCGCGGGAGCCAGCGCTGCTGGGGCGGCCGCGGGAGCCAGCCCGGCCCTGGAGCCGCACACCCTGCCGCCGGCCGCGGCCACGTGGCCCGAGCTGCCCGCGCCAGCCGAGTGCCCCGAGCCGCTCCCACCGGCCGCGGCCGAGTGCCCCGAGCGGCCCGCGCCACCAGCTGAGGCTGAATGCGCCGAGCTGCCCCCGCCAGCCGAGTGCCTTGAGCTGCCCCTGCCGCCAGCTGAGGCCGAGTGCCCCGAGCTGCCCGCGCCGCCCGCCTGGCTCCAGGAGGCCGCAGCGGGAAGCGGGCCAGGCCTCGGCGGGCACCCGCTCTGGGAAGCGCAGGTGCCGCTTCCCCCTGCTCCCAGACTGGGTGCCCAGGAGCCGCCGCCAGAGCCGCCCCTGCGGACGAGCCCCACCACGTCCGCCGAACTTCACGTTTCCTAGCAGAGGATTCTTCAAATATCTCGGCAAAGGGGAAGCTGCGGCAGCGAGAACTGCGTGACAGCAGCACGGGCACTTCCCCTGCCTTGCTCAACCTCGGCTGTCCCAAAGGGAACAAGCTGCTTCTGCCAACACCAGTGCTTCAGGATGCAGCGGGATGGAGCCCGTGGCACCCAGCGCCTTCCAAAACGGACCAACACCCGCGAACGCCTATATCTATGCAGGGGTCTATAGATGTATGTACAGACACTCAGAGACACGGCCACGAGGCACAGGGCGGCCTCAGAGGAACTCGGAGCTTCTAAAACTCTTCAGTCCATCTCTTTGGTCTACCAGACTCTCCAATGTAACTCCCCTTCTCAGAATGTCTTTTACAAGTTAATTTTAATAAAGCTTTCTAACTCAAAGACATACGGCTCACCTGTATACTTAAAGCACAACTGAGTAGTAGCTTAGCTCCAAAGCTTCAAATTAAAACCAACATGTATGTGTCTTGGCACACCCGAATGTTGTCCATCATTCTGACAAAGGTCCATTTCCTGGGGTTGACTGGAGAACAACTTGGTAATAAGAGACTGCAGATATTTAAAGTAAATCACCACGACAGCCATCACTATCTCTTATTAATAGGAATGACATTTCTTTTCTTTCTTTGCCAAAAAAATATACCATGTCAAAATCTTCACACTATTTCCTGGTAATACAGAGAAATAGCGAAAGTAAAAAGGTAATAGAAATATTAGACACTCAAAAGCTGAAATGGCTCCAAATATATAAAGAACAAATATAAAAGGGTTTTCACCGAAAAACTTGGATTTTTGTGGACAAAATACAAGCGGTTCACAGAACACCTAGGCACATGGGTATGAGAATTAGCTGTGCACATTTACTGATTGCTTCCTCTGAAGCAAGACCTTTAGAGTGTATTTAGTCTTATTAATAAAATCTTTAAATTCATGTTGCCCATATGCTAGATTCCTTATAACTAAAAAGTCAAGTTTTACGGATCCCTGTCTTGGCCCTGAGTACAAGTGAAGCTCAGTATCCTACCTAAAATGACATATTTTGGTAAGAAAACTACGGTGTAGTTGAAGAGTAATTTCAGAGGGTAATTAAATATATATATATATATATATATGTATTTATTTGTATTTGAATGTCTAGATTCATAGCAAGAGACTGCTAGAAGCCAAAGCTTCTTTCCATGACATCTCTGCAAAACAGCCAAGAGTTTGTAAATTTGAACTCTTTGGGGCAGGGAATATATTTGTGCATGCTGCACAGAGCATGTTTGCACACTTTACAGCAATAAACTCCAAAATCTTTAAATTAACACTGAAAGTTAAAGCCATAAATTGTGCATATGTGCTGTTTGCTGCTGTGCATAGTGAGTACAAAGAAAAGTAGTTACCATTTTTTTTTATATCATTTATATAAGATGTATGAAACTGTGTACCTGAAAAAAGAGAGTTCTTTTTAAGGCTTGTTACGTTATATCACATTCAAATTACCATAAACCATACTCGGTTTTACCATACTGCATACAGAAATTCAGATACAGATTTCCTATAGAAAACTATAAAATCCTACAAGCTGAGCTGTATTTTATCTGATAATACAGTGAGAGCCTGATCTGAGGAGCAGAAAAATGAACATTTTTAAAATACAAAAAGGTACTCTAGCAACGTTGACCAAAAAGGTTATGGAGAGGAAGCTGAAATTAGTATTAAACATTATTAGAAGAGCACGAGTAAAAGTAAAAAGAATACAACTTAAATGACTTTTTAAATAGGATCATTTAAAAAAGAATCATGGGTTAAGCTAAAACAGCCTCCAGAAATTCCACTTGACGCCGATTGTACAGACAAATTTATATGCTATATTTTGATGCAATAACTTCTACAAAAATGCACAGAGAAGGTAACTAATTCAAATGACAAAATCCCACTATTTTATTGAATATGCACGCCTTGCCATAAATTTGAGTCAGCACCAGCGACAGCTCTGCAGTCCTCCGATGTAGTGCAGATCAGGTGGTTGCGGAGCCCCAGCTAGCAGCAATACGATGCAGCTGAAGAGCAGAGCACAATCCACAGACAGCAACTGTAGCTAGCTCTAGAACAAGGCGACCTCTAAGCTCGAATCCTTCACAGAAACGATGTACTGACATTACAGAAGAGACTACGGTAAGTTTCTGTTTTTGTTTTTAATCACAAAAACCTACTACAAAACCAGAGACAGGAATAAGATCAAGATTATTAGTTGATGACAGATGCTTGCATCAGAAATTTGCTGCAGTGTCAGAGATTTCTTACTAACATTAATTCAGCTTTCATGCATGTTACCAGCTTTGAGAATGTAATTAACACTGTAGCAAAACAAAATAATAGTGTGCATGTTAGCATGAGAGTGGAATCTGGGTTTCAAAATTCCTAACAATTTAAGACGTATTTTAACCAATTTTATTTAAGCAAATAGCGTGCATGTATGGGGGGGACTGCTATGTTACTGCAGAGATTTGTAAAGCAGATCCAGTTGACAGCCATTTTTTTTATCTGGTATAAAAGAACACATTATTCCAAATATAATATAGGCTTGAAATCACTAAAAACAAGAAGCAGACATTGTATAACATTTGGAAGAGACTTGCATTTTCGGAAGAAAGCCCTCATTTGAGCTTGAGGGGGAAAGGGAGATGAAAAAACAAGTCTCATTCTGCCAGACAACATGACAGTCTATGAAGGGATGCTTTGTAAAGTCTCTCTTGAACAATTATAAAAAGGACTATGCCACAAAGGGCTTTATTGATATTTTAACTTAATCTCTCCTGCAAGTAGCCAGTGCAAAGACAACCCTTAAAAATAAATCAAATATATTCTATGGATTTCTAGAGAGTCATTTCGGTATATTTGCTTTCAGGCAGCAATGGAACACCAGATACTGAAAATATCTACCTGCCTGCTGGCCCTCCTGGTTGTCATACCCACCGTGCTGGGTATTTGTCCTTCCAACTGCACATGCTCAGGAAACAACAGGAACGTGGACTGTTCTGGCAGGAACTTCACTATACTGCCACACGGACTTCAAGACAACATTACATATTTAAACCTGTCCTTTAACCAGTTTACAGACCTTGATCATCAGCTGACCAGGTTTACCAATTTGAGGACCCTTGATATTTCAAACAATTGGCTCAAGAATGTTCCTGCCCATCTGCCCAAGTCCTTATGGGAATTATATGCCACAAATAACAATATCCGGGTTCTCCAGAAACTGGACACAGCTTACCAGTGGAATCTGAAAGTGCTCGATGTTTCCAGGAACATGGTGGAACGGGCTGTTCTGATCAACAACACGCTGAGCAGCCTCAAGTTCCTCAACCTCAGCAGCAACAAACTGTGGACGGTCCCCACCAACATGCCCTACAACATCGAGATGGTGGATCTATCCCACAACTTCCTGTCGCAGATCCTGCCGGGAACGCTGCTGCGGCTGCGACGCCTCACCAGCCTCTACCTGCACAACAACAAGTTCGCGTACGTTCCTGACAAAGCGTTTGACCAGCTCCTCCAGCTCCAGGTGCTCACGCTATACAACAACCCGTGGTCCTGCAGCGACAGGCCAAACATCCTTTATCTGCTCACGTGGGTGCAGGGAACGGGAGCCACTGTCCTTGGGGCTCCCTGCGCTAACGAGACAGGGCTTTGGACGCCAACGCCGGCCACGGCCACCATCACGGAGCCGAACCTCCTCATTAAAGGAATGAAGGCAGCAGACAAAACTTCTCTGACGGCAGCCGAACCAAGCAAAATGACCAAAACGCACAAACAATTCAAAGTCAAGGAGGTTGCTTTGACCACTCCCTTAGGCCAACCCATACTGTTCACAAGCACAGACCGCCCACTGCTGCTCTATCCAGAAGAGGTGACCGCGGGCAAGGCGAGCTCGCACGAGGCGGCCGCCACGCGCACCATCTACGTGCAGGTTTCGACCGAGCTCCGCTCGAGCTCAGCCCGCCCGCCCGCTGCCTCCACCACCCCCAGGACCCTGAGCATCACCAGCGGGACGCCCACCAACTACTCCAGGACGCCTCGGAGCACAACTGCTGCCTTACGGAAAGAGGAATCCACTACAAATGTTTTTAATACCCCCGTACCCTCCTCCAAAGCAAGCACCCGTGAGCTGCGTTCGTTCTGTGTCCTAGCGCTTAACACGGCGGCAGTGCTTATTGCTCAGGGCCGCTAAGTCTCGTGTCGTCTCTCCCCGTGCTGCGCAGCTGGGCTGAAAACGTCCAGGTCAAACAATGAATCAAAACGAAAGAAATTCCAAGTTCTGACTCTGATCTAAAGAGAGTAACAGTTCCTAAGGAAGCGCACACTAACGTCTTGATACTAAGCTGCTACTTATTTTAATATGTCTTAATCAAGTAAAACTAACTATGATTTTGTTTTTAAAATGTGCTTATTTTGTATTTAAATTTTTAATTTTACTTGCACAGAATAAAACATCAGAATTTTAAGTACTGACTTTATGTATGGTTTTGTCATTAAACATCTGGAAACAAAAACAAAAAAGAGAAGGCCTGTATCATATCTGCATTGTTTTGCTTGACTTGCCAACCAGTAATTCTTGTAATATAGTAGTACAGTTCCTTTGTACGTTATGATGACATGCAAATGGAAGGGAAAAAAAATTAAAAAGCTGAACCTGTTTCACTAACCAGAAGTTACTCCTGGGCAAATGGCTAGCATGTATATCTATGTTTGCTTCATATGTATTAGGTATTTTAAATATGAAGAACAGAAGTTTTGAATTTAAAACGTAAATATGACAACGCCATGGTGTCTGCTGGGAGGGGATAAACAGAGAAGACAGCATGGCCTAACCTGGCATGGGGAAAGCGATAGGGGCTGATTTCTCTTTTTGCTCTGTCTTGACTCGGAGGCTGCAGGCAAGTTATTTCTCGCTCTCCATCATTTCAAAGAGATAAAAGATAAAAGTAGAGGAAAAATACAAGATGTTCAATGCCATGACACTCTTGGACAACACTGAGCTTATCTACACAAATTAATGGAATGAAATGCCTTAAATTTACTGAAATAATTGAAAATAATTGAATTTGAGGTAGTTTATTTCAATATGCTTAAAAGAACATCACAACTTGGACAGAATGCATCCAACTATTCGAAATGAAAGACCAACCAATTTGTAAGGCAAATTATGTAATGTAAGTCAATTATATAATCAGTTGACAAGTTGTCATTTACACAGTCCTTGAACTGGTCTTATGACTTCAAAAACTAACTCCATCCGTGGCATTGAACATGTCCAAATCACTATCCTATAAGGATGAGCATGAATGCTATTTTCCTTAATATCTGCACCATCAACGAGTAGAAATAGTTGCACGCATGGTTCTATCAACTCTGGCACAATAATCTAAATTACGTGGCAAAGATACTTGATATACTACAGGTAAAGTTCTGCAAACAGCATGAAATGAAAACTGAAGAACAAGTAAATTGAAAAAAAAATATTTACTTAATATTACAAACCTTTATTAAACGTTTTCCATTCATTTCAGGCCATTTAATTTCCAGTCGTAGCATGAAGGTGCTACAAAACCCAAGAAACCTCACTGCTGAGGCTGCAGTCCTCTACCTGTTTCTCCTAGGTCTCCTAGGTCTCAACCATGTACAACCACTGGTACCAGAGAAATCACAACTTTCCAATTGTGAACAGTATTTCTATAACCGGAAATGTATTTTAATTTCTAACAAGAACATAAATGATACACAGTGAATTTGTACAGTTATTTCATTGGCATATAAGTAAAAATAAAGTTAAGTTTGTATTGAACCGAATCAGTGGGAGTGCTTTATTTCAAATATGCCTCGTTACCATATATTCTTGGGGAGGGATAATACCACTGAATACTTTTTAATACACAAATCTATCTTAAACAGTTCTTTGACTAATCTTCATTTTTTATAGGAAAAAATGCATTAAGATTTTATTACCTTGACACTCAAATATTCTCTAATATTGCTTATTAATTAACTGATGAGATCATTGTTAGATAGAACCTACTCTTGCCCCTACAGGACTCGCAAGCACCTAAAGCATATACATACTCACTACAGAAAAGCATATATGGTGCCTTCATCGGCTTATGGAAGCGCCTTGTTACAGAAAAGGCCAAACTGCTGTCTGAGAAGACACCTACCTGCACAGCTTCCATCTATTTTCTCAGGTTAAATTTGACACAAACAGGTAAATTCCTCCAACTAGAATCAGTTATAAGAAAAACCCCACAACCTGCTTGGGTCTCTCTGGACAGGCGATGTATTTGCTAAGCATTAAGTCGTCACGAAAGCAGCAATCTACTCGTCATGTTCAGAATTGGTTTTTTCCTAGCACTATCTCATTCACATGGTTTTATCCTACTCAGTTTAGAGCAGCTTAGTTACAAGGTAAGACAGATCACTAAACAGGCAGCAGGGACTAAAGCACCTGGAGTGAGCTACATTTCACTGAGGGAGGTGTATGAAATACTCCATGCACCTCTGCTGAACAGTCTCCGCTGGACATGCTGCCAAGTCCTACTGGATGCGTTCACGGAAGCACCTCCACACGCTTGGGGTATGTTCCTCTTCCAATGAGACTGTCGAGCAAGCAGGGGAAGCTAGCTACCAAAAAACCTGCTTTTCAGAAGTCGTGCAGGACCAATTGCAGCTTCCCAGGCTGGCTCGCTTGCTACCTGGACTTCCAAGTACGAAACGTGCTGATAAAAGCCTGGAAGTGAAGCGGGTTTGCAAGGTTTTCTTAAGCTCATACAGGGTATATTGTGAGCGCCTACACTCCAAACCAAAGCCAGTGGGAGCTGGCCCTGCCTCTCACGCCCAGGGCTCTGCTCCCCGGCCCCAGCTGGCCCACGGCGCGTGAACCCTGCGCCTCCTCGTACAGAGGGTTCCTGGCATTCTCAAATCCCACGGACTGGATGATGAGCAGGGAGCAGGCAGGGAAACGTAGGAGTCCTCTACCAGAGTTGCTTGGCAACAGCGCAGTCAGATTGAACGAGGGCTGATGGGCATGGATGTGATCACCACAGAAGTGGTTCAAAATAAACATGCTGCTAAAAAGATTTATCCTCACAGAAATTCTTTTCTCCAAAACACCCATGCAATATTTCAGAATAATCTTTTGTGTGTGCGTGTGCTTCCTTACATATATTAAATGCTTACCAAAAGGCACTGCATACCTTATAATAGGAATATGTTTATTTTTGAAAGGTTACAATTGCCACAGGAGTAGCTGTGCACTGAAGCAATAACTCAGAGGTTTGAATTACCATGTTTCCTATTAATTTGTTTGGGATATTAGCTTTAAAACTTAATGGCAGTATGTCAAGATCAATATTTATTGGATTATTGACCATCATCATAACAGAGCAGGAATTAAGGAAGAAAACCGGCTTTTAAAAGTCAGGTTGTTGCCCAGGAAACAAAAAGCAGAGAGAAATGACGGAGGAGATTAAATTTCATAACACAAGGAGGCTACAAACTGAACCAGATACATCAGTAAAATGACTCAGTGATGCCCTAGCAACTAGATCTCAAACTGGAGAAAAAAAAGAAGAAAAAGAAAAGAGGCTGCTGCAAGCCCTCAAACCTGCTGGCAGCTCCAATCTAAACACTCTTTTCACATTCCATAGCCTAAAAAAGCCTATCTGGTTCTGAACCACAAGACAGAAACCCCAAATAGGCACCGCTTTGGCACGCTCCCTTTAGCACAAAAGATGTCAGAATATCATTCCAGGAAACAGGACAGCCTGCTAGGTTCAAAAAGAAAACTAACCAACCAACCAAAAACCATCTTATGTCAAAGATCTTCACAGATACATAAGGGTACCCTGGATGAGGGCCAGAGAGCACTAACTCTGACTCCGCAAGGCTGGGCTATCACTGTCCTTGGCATTTGCACGCTTCATTTCTTGCCTGAAGAGCATGAGATAATAAGATAGCATTTTACGTTATTTGGCATGAAGACATTGTCTGATGAAAAAACAAATGAAAAAGCATGTAATGAGCAAATTTGTCTTTTTTTTTTTTTTTTTTTTTTTTTCCTTTGAGGGGGAAGTTTTTTAAAAATTAACAACTCCTCTAAATTTGCATGTAGAGAGCACTTTAACTGCAGGAGTCCCTTCCCGACAGGAAAGGGCCAGCACAGAAACCATCCTCCTTTCCCGGAGCGCCTCCCTCGGGACACCCCGCTTGTCCCCAGGCCCTGCTGCGCCGCTCCGCAGGGCTGCCCTCCCTGCGGCCGCGCCGCAAGGCTGCAGCCGCGCGGGCACCCCTCTGTGCAACGCCTGCCGTCTCGAGCACACGGGCTACCTCAGCGCAGATGCCTTATGTAATAATCCTTTCTCATCAGGCTTCCCAGCGCTCTTGTATAACTGCCTTTCAAAGAGCAACAATGCAGGTCAGAGGGAAGAGCACCAGTTCACCCTGAGGAGAAATGACTCCTGCTGCACGAGGCAGCACCACTTTCCTCACTGAACTCCCACCAAGTCCCTCCGTGGAGCACATCGCGCTGGCCACGCTTGCCCGCGCAGGCCCTCAAACCCATCGTGCAGCCCCAGCTCGGCCCTCGAGCCTGCAGAGCTCCCTCCAGCCTCCACTCAGTCCACCGGCCTCTCTCCACAAGAGAGGAAGAGACACAGACTTCTCAAGGAAGTCTGAGGACAACGTCTAGCACCGACTGTAACTACTACAGGTACTGTTTCGAGCACACTGTCCTCATTTCATGGATTTCATAGTTCAATTCCTTAATAACTAGGTTTAAATACCTAGTTTAAATTACATACTTACTGTAATTGCAGCCTTGCTTCATTTCAATCAAATACAGACTTTTTTTTTTTTTTTTGTGGAACAGAGGTAACCATGACTTAGTCTGTAATGTGACTAATATTAAACTCTGGGATATTCTTCCCAAGTTTTCAGTACTGCAACATATGACACTGTCATGAATCATCACCTTCCACAGAAGGGAAGACTTAAAGCTTTCACTCTTGCCTAATTGAAAAAACATGGTCTTTTGCAAAAATTACAGTTCACACTTCAACATTTGCTTTTCTCATCACTTTGGCAATATTTTCACACACCTTGACCATTTTCAAAATCATGGAATTATTTTTTTAGAGCACATTGGTAAAACTGAAGCAATAACACACTGTATAAAACTCCTAATTACTTGTATTACTCTTGAAAAAGTGACATGAGGATTTCTGAGAAATTTTATCCCATGTTTTAGTTTGTTGCTCATTTTATACTTCAGAAAAAGAAGAGAGTAAAGTCACTGAAAAAAAGAGTTAAAATAATGTGACAGACATAGTTAACTCTACAATGAAAAATCAAAAACATTATTAAAAACTTCAGGTACATTTCTACAAGCACTCACGTACTACTGGATGGAGAAACCACAGCAGTTCTCATCTAGAATATATCTCAACTCAAAAATATTCCAGCACCAAAATGCAAAAAATAAGGAACCTTGACATTCTTAAGGAGTTGGTGTCCCTTTCCTAAATAAACACGTAAAATCACAAGTATCAAGTGTTTTTTACACAGAGAAGGTGAAAATTTCCTTACCGTCGAGCAATGTAGTAGAAAACAGGATTGCCAGCTTTGGATGTCCCAGCTTGGTAGAAAATATTTAATGTTTTCAGTGCTTTGAACTCCTCTTTTTCATGTACCTGATGCCTAAAATGTGGCATATTGTGAAAAGTTAGTGTCAAGGAATGCGATGACAATAAAAACCCAAAACCCTCCCTTCTTTACTTATACCTTTAAACGAAAGTATAAGTTTACACAATTCTAAACATTTTAATACAACACAAATTGCTACTTTTAAGGTTTTCAGTTTAATTTTGGACCCACAAATTAAAGTCTTCCACCAAGGAATATAAGACATTTGTAGCAGCACCTTTTTAAACTTCAAAATGAAAGCTAGTACAGTAACTACTTACAGTACCAGACAAGCTAAGGTCTAACAACCCACGAAGCACTCTTCCCTCCACAATAATCTCATTACCTTGTCATAAATTCTTCAAATTTGGAGCTAGTGAGATTTAAACTGGACCAATGAGTATCTGCCACAGGCTTGTGCTCCGGAGGCCCCAGATAGGCAAGAAGAGTGGCCATTTTGTCAAAAGGTCGCCTGCCAACAGCCTTGTGGTCCCTGGAAAGAGCAGATTGCATCAAAGGCAAGTCTTTCACTACTCAGCATTGCTGGTCTTGGACCAATATCTATCTTTACCTTTAGCAGGCTAAGTTTAAAGCAAACTGTGTTAACTGAAGAAATTAGAAAAACCTGCTATACATATAACATATAACATAATATAATATATACATATAACAAATGCTACAAAAGTTATGTCAGACATTGGCGCTCAGTTTTATGCTTGCATGTAAGTTTGGTAGCGAAGAGGGCACGAGTTCTGCACGTTTCCCAACAACAGGTTTTCAGTAAGACAAAAGGGTCCCAAAGGTGAGATTTTCTGCCACAATGTTCTCAGTAGCTGCTACAAAAGCATTTGAAAGTACTTCACAACACTGAGTTCCTACCAGCAACTCCTTTCTCCATAAAATTTCCAAAATCTTACCTGTTGCTGGAAAGGTACTGGCCAATCTTCTCCTGATTGTTCCACAACAACCGGTGCAAAGCGAGCACGTTGCCGTCACTGATGAACGACAGGCTGTGGTTGACAGTGTCGCTGGCTGGGCAGTCGGATGCAATATCAAGGAAAAACCTGCAGTTGAAAACCAGTGTCCCCATAAGCAAGGGAGGGAAGGGAAAGCAGCTGAGCAGTCTCAATACAAGGCAAAAGGCCACAGACACACGGTACCGCTTACTGGCTACGGGAGACAAAGCTCTGCTGAGGTCCCCAAAGGGCCTACCTTCGGGCTGCATCAAAATTGCTTTTGACAAAATCGTTAAAAGGCCGCATATGCTCTTCTTTTGTAAACAGGACGTGGTTGGCAATACTCTGAAGGATCTAAATAACAAAAAGATAGATAAAGCCACATATAGGTTAACGTATCAACTGTTAGGGCTAGCAGCATAACTTCACTGTCAAAAATACCCAGTTTGTGGGTATTTGAATTATCATTCACTTATTTATGACCATCAATTGAGCTTTTAAGAGGAAAGCAGCTGCCTTTTGAATACATTGCTTGGTCTTATTTCATCTGGAGATTTTACAGACATATCTAAATGCAGTAGCATAGGCACACATAAAGGCAATTACAGTTTTTCAACATTTAAAATGGATAACACACATGCTCCCCAAAGGTTATGCAACATCATTATGCTTTCGTTTATTTATTCACTTATTAGAAAGAAAATGACCCAAGTCTTGAGACCAAGGATGGCCAAAAAGACTTCTTCAAAGCAAATGGGATTTTTTAACAAGTATCTGGTTGAAAATAAACTCATTCAAGAAATAATGTTAGTTTCTTGTATTATGTGTAATCATAGCATAGGCACTTACTTAAATAAACACAATCTTTTGTACAAATAGTCCCAATTTGAAACAAATTTTCTCCTTACCTATTCAACCACTGGAAGAAATCAAATCAAACAGAAGCCTGCGGCACCTCACCTTTGACATGAGCTTCAACCCCCTCTCGATCCTGGGGGGAGGCTTCTTGTCCAGAATGCCCGCCTCGTAGGGCGACACGATGGCGGGGTTGATGAACCGCAGGAACATGGCGCTCCCCACCGCCCCGATGCTGTTCTGAGGGAACCGCTGGCTAACCACCTGCAAGGTGCAATTATAAAAAACATTTCTGCGTTAAAGAAAGGAGAAAACCAGCTGCAAAAAAGTCCTGTACGGCAGGCCAGTCTTAGCCACTCTCTCCACAGCATTCAGGATCAGTAGTCTGGGTAGGATTAGCCTGAGTTGACAGGTCATCATAGAGCAAGCAGAAAAGAAAGGGGGAAAAGGAGCAAGTGGGGGGCCAAGCAGCAGCACCAGTTGCTGCCTAACTTTACTTCAGCTCTAAAAAGCTTTTTGTAGGAGTGCAATTACTGCAGCAGGCGTCGCAGCAGGGCAAGCAAGGCCGCTGCCAAGGCACCGAGCAGCACGTCCTGCAGCTGCCCCAGGGCCGCGCGCCGCGCTCTGGCCTGCGGCTCTTCCACGCAGCACAGGCTCCCTCGGGCTCCCTCAGCCCCTGCTTGTGTGACATGGCAGTGCAAAGGCACATTATACGGAAATTCTTCTGAAAACAGAGTTATCAGCACATGCGTAATATATCAAGAACCACTTTGTTTCAATAGCAATTTCATTTACAGTTATCTTGTGGTGTAGTTATCAATCTCATTTTTGTGTGAAATATTAGTTTAAACATAATTAATGTACTGCTCAGTTACAGCAAAAATATAAGGGAGTATTTAATGAAAGTTTAAATTTCCATTCTGCTTCCATGCAGAGAATTCATATATTGTATTTTATGGTCATTGTCAAAAGAAAATGATAAATCTTAAAGGACACCATTCTAACAACACATATATAAAAATAAACAGTATTACTAAGCTGACAGCCTAAACTTCTTTAACACAGCAAGTTACTTAAAATGAGCAATATGCTTCTCTTATTTTAGTAAGCACAAATACTAAATTTTAATCACATTTTCACAAGGCAAACAAAGGAAAAACATATCAGAAGTCACATAAGTCTCTATTCCCTCTGGTGACCCATGTGTGTTAATAGTCCTTCTCCCAGGATGCAAGCTGCAGTCAAGTTATCTACCAAAGTGTTAAAATGACTAAACAGACTCGTACCTTCCCCAAAACCTAGAAAAAAATTTTCTTTCTGCATTTTTGGTTTGATTTGAAGATGGTGGCAAAGGTAGAAGAATCAGAATATTAAATACTGAGCAGTAAGGTTAAACACATCTTTCTGTTTACTCACATAGGCACACAGAGAATATTTTTAAAATATAACTGAATTCCAGTGTTAATTGAAATGGAAGCTATTTTGTGCCAGAATTAGTAGAATGATTTTACAGTGAAGGTCAAATAGACTGAAGTGAGGATGTTTTGAACAAATAGCAAAAGATTTCTGTTGTGCTTTGAGAGAAATGGCTAATAAAAAGGTCTCCAAACTTACTGATTTTTTGTTTTCCTTTTTTTCTTTTACGGTAGCTTTATTCAGTAGAGAGTGGCAAGTTGCCTACAGAACAGAGATGAGCACAAACAAGTCACAGCACCAACTACATACAGGAACAAAAAAACCAATGTTGACTTGTACATAAATTACACAGCAAAATGTAACAAACAGAACCAACAGAAAATGAAATATATAAACTAAAGACTGATGATGAAGTTTCATTCCACACATTCTTTTTAATACATCTTATTTATAAAGCACTAAATACAAAACAAGCAAATGTTGCATATCAATCATTTCTACTATTTCTGGCTAGATTTAAAGTCAAACCACATTAATGTGCCCATGGAACACAATATTGGTCATTAAATAGTATATTCAGCTTTCAAATGTATTACACCTTTGAAATACACATTGCTTTTAAAATAAATTTAAAGTTTTATATCTTCCCAATGTTTCTCTGTGTGTCCTTCAATTTAGTTAGGTCTGCGAGTCATCATGGTTTTGTGACTTTGATAGCTAAGCACTGCTGCACAACACTTCTGTGGAAAAAGGGAGGGAATAACGCAGTAGGTCTGCCCCTAATTTCTGGGAGATCTTCAAACTGAGACATCTCACTGGACTGTCTCTGTTTCTGAATGTCACTTCAGTTTGAAGTGACCCGCCAAGAAGCATCACACTCACATATCACACCAGGGTTTGAGCAAAGCCAACCCAGTTCATCAGCCTTGCCTCCTGCTCCCCTTAGGCACAGGGGAATTTGGCTCTGGCAGCTCAGAACCGTTCACATTAGCAGAAACTGTAAGTTAGCATCACTAAAAAGCCCTATATCAAACCAAAGTTGGAGCTGTACCATAGGAAGGTGGCAGCATTTAGCAGGCTGAGAGCAAACATAGAGAGCCAACAGCTCCAATAAACTTCAGAGACTCAGAGTTCAGAGACTGGAAGAGAATTTCTACAATTTAAGAACAGGAGGGTGATGAACGTCTTAAGTAGCGAATAAAACAACCAAGTTAACACAGTTTGAATGTGTGCAAGAACCATTAATATTAAAAAACGGTTTAAATTCTCCTCCCCAAACTGACTTTGCATACCTTCTAGAAAGAACAGTTCACACTGTTCTGAAAAAAGCTCTAGAATATGAATGTGCAGATTTATACTGTGATGTACAAAACATCTGTACATGAATGCGCATGGTACTCAAAACACTCAGAGCAGTACCAGCTGAAGCACAGGATCAGCCTGTTGAAAGACTCAAATTCATCAGATTCAACTGTCCACTTAATATTCAAAAAAATAAACTCAATTTTCCAGTTAATTTTATGTGTTTCCTTGGCAAACTCCACTAAGGCATTTGGTTTCATGAGCAAACTACTCTTCTTACCAAAACCATGTAGAAGCAAAAGTAAAAATACTTGTTGATACGCTTCCAGGGAAGGATCTGGGACCATGCCCTCTGGTGTTCATGATTCTACTTTATGTAGAAATTAAAAACAGTTTGCAGAGAAACAATTTTCAGCAAGTGATCTCAAATTTGCTTTCAGCAATAGAAACAACTCTGGTATTGTAGGAGCAGCACACAAAAGCTATCCTAGGAAAAGATGTGGTACAAAGCAACTGCAAGTAACCAACGCAACACAAGATTTTAGCTGACCTTTTCCAGGATAGAAAACGACCACGTGCAAACAAGCACGGTAACTCATGCGCCTTCCTTCCTCCCCAACAGCTCAGAAAATCTACTTTGCCCAATTTACTTTAAATCCCAAGATACAAGTTCCTGTACGAGAGGCCAAAGTAGCTTCCGCAGCACCCATCTGTGCCGGCAGCTCCCGCTCTCTGCTCTGTGCAGCTCTTGTGCAGCCGCCCTCCGAGAGGCTGAAACCTCTATTTCCTGGGGATCCTGAGGGCAGGGGGGACAGGCCCCACTGGAGACTTTAGCCCCAGCGAAACACAGCAGAGAGCAGACTGCAAGCAGAGCGCTCTGCAAGCACACTAGGATACACTAAACACACTCTTTGTGGAGAAAACAAAAAATACTTAGAATTAGCAGCCACACAAGCAGCTGTTTTATTCACAGTCTGTGTTATCAAACATGTAACCTATAGGACTTTGGGATAATGTTGCCTTTACATAGGACCAATTAAATTAGTTTGGAGTTCCTAATTGTGACTCAGTTCCTTAAAAATATAACATGAAGTCACCTCCCGAATGCCAACCCAAACTCTAAAATACAGCTAAGCCCCTAAAGCTTACGTTGCTGTTTAAAAAACCTCGGAAAACAATCTTTAAGATATGGCCATTATGTTCCCGCTACTGAACCAAGCTCCAAACTGCCAGGATGGTAAAAAAGAAAAAAAAAAAAAAAAAAAAAGAAGAAAAATCAAAATCAGAGGTTTGATTTTTGTAATTACTCCAACAACAGAAATCAGAGCCTGAAGCTGCAGCCCCTCCTCTGCGGCGTACCTGGTACAAGCAGTGGCACACACTGCGAAGCTGAGGCGGGAACTCTGAGGAGGAATTAATGATTGCATGAAAAAACTTTTCTGTCATTTGCAAGAGGCTCCGCTGATTCTCTTCAAGGCTTTCTGTGGGCTCCAGCCTGAAACAGACCCATAAGTGTATGACCAGCAGTCAAGCAAAGCTTATCAGCTGCAACTCTATGTTTAGTGGTAACATTATTTCACAGGGTAAACAGGAATCCCACAGAAATATTAATGATATTTTACACAGAAGATTCCATTGATATTCTAACTACATAATATACTATGTACAGTTTTAAAACTTAGTAATAGACATTTGGAAATGGGATTCTTGCAGCCCACTCCATACAGAGACATACATATATACGGCAAGAGGGTTGCATTATCAGTTTGATGATGGTTTCTCCAAAAGCAGTTTGAGGTAGATACATGTGTTTAAGTTCTAAAAAGGAGTCCTATCTTTTGGTAAGCTACTAAAAAGAATATAGAAAGTTTTCCCAGAGTTAGTAACTGTTGTTCTCCCTCTAAGTCCAAGCCTTCAAGAGGCATGAGGGTAATTGAGACAAAAAAACAAACAAAAAACAAGTAAACCACAACACACACAGAGGCCCTCTTCCTTCTGTAACCAATTCAGTGACCTAAAGCAGACACTCTTGGATACTACTGAAAATCCCCACATTTGCAGTCTACACAGAGGTAGGAGGCGGCTAGTAGGAGAAGAGGCAGAGCAAGGACTCTCTCTGAGGGCTTGACGTGGACATGCTACAGAATTCACCTCCCTGAGCTGCAGCCTTGGGCAGCTCTGCACAGTGCTCCCTCGCGACAAGGGCTGCAGATACAACAAACGTGCCCAGCAAAGCAAGGAGTGGAGAAGTATGGCACAGGAAAATCGTTCACAAAAATGGAAATTGAATCCTACATCTAAGACGACTGAGAGACAAGTTTATAAATAAACGCATGTCCTCCCGCCTTGTGTTTCAAACCTTGTAGGATCCACCTCAAAGCTAACATGCTGCCATTCTGTGGAGGTGATCACAGTCCTCAATAAGGGCTCCAAAAGCTTCTGCAAATATGTAGCACCATATACCTATGAAGAAAGAAAATCAGAATATATGGCCATCCACAGAAGCACTTGACACCAAAGGATTTAGTAGTCTTTTTTTTTAATAACTATATTTTGCTCTATTTCAAGTGATCTGTAGCAGAGATAAAGATAAAGTAACATACCTTAAAACAGAAAGTCATTATTTTACTGGCTAAGCTATTTCCTCGGAAGAGCGTCTGCATGGAATCTGCTAGCTCAACCTCCTTTGAAAACATGTTCCAAAGTAGCTGGTAGAGTAAGTGTCGAGAATCAAAGAGTGTGACCAGGACTCGAGCTAGCTCGTCCTTAAGGAAAACAACAAAACGTTAGTCTGACTAACAATGGATCACAGCAATGAACAGAAAAAAATAGGAAATGCCATCAAGCAGCTCATGCTAATGCTTTATATTTGCTCTGAAGTTGTGCACATGAATATCAAGTTAAACATGCAAAATTTCTTTTTAATTTTTACCTTTGCTATTTTTTCTGCCTAAAATTTCTCCCATAATATCAACTGCACAAATTTGTAATGGTTAGTCCAGATAGCAACAACTTACCCACTGAGAACAAGGCACCACATTGGCTAAAGCCATAGCAATGGGAAGCTCTCCCTGATCACCCATCATGGTAACCAACTCCACCAGCCTCTCAAACCGATCTGCTAGCACAGTTTCTGCTAAAGTATCAAATTCTGTTCCCTGCTGCAGAATCTTGGTGAGGACTTCCATGAATGTAGCTCTTGTTTGGAGGTCTTTATGATAGCCTAAGCCTGATTCAAAAACAACAACAACAACAACAAAAACACACTACTAAGGAAAATGTAAGTATAGTTCAAAAACAAATGTTCTCATTACGCATTCACCTATGCGCAGTTATCTCTAACCACTTTACCTATTGAATGCATAAGGCCACTGTCCACGTTTGCATTGAGCAGGTTGGACATAGCCAGAACAGTGCAGTGACGCAGCGACGCCAGTCTGCGAGACATCCCACGTTTCCGGCCACCTGTTTGTGCACTTTCATCTTCAACCTCACTACAGTCATTTAGAAGGTTCATAAACAGAGTGAAATATCTAAAAAAACAAACAAACAAACAAACAAACAAACAAACACAAAGACCCCTTCAATAAGTAAAAGGCATTCTACAAAAGCAATAATCTTTGATTTACCTACAGCAGAAGACAGGCCATAGATTTCCCCAAAAATGTTGTTCCTGTCCTGCATTTTTTTCAGCATACTCTTAATACTTAAAGAAAGAGCGCTAAAAGCTGCATACGAAGTTGCTCAGATCAAACAAGTGAATTTCACTAGACCATGTTTCCAAACAGTCATCTTCAAAAACATATGAAGTTTCAAGGACAAGAATCCAAAATCCAAGCAAGCTAATTTCATGAATTAAGCATAAAGATATGCTGAAATAAAACAAAGCCAAATTTAATGATTGTTTTCAAGTTAAAATCTTCCCATAAACTATAAGATAGAGATTTGTGAAATCATACGATGAGGTAATTCCCGGCTGGATAATAAAATTAGTTCTGGCAGAATTATACTTTGTAGTAAGAGTCACATGGTGCATCTACTTCTCAATTATTTTATAGCAGAAAGAGTTAAAAAAGACTAATTACTTAAGAAATAACTGGGATTTAGCTTCCATCAACTCAACTCCATCTCCTTCTTCAGGCTGCAGTGGAAGACCAGCAAGAAGAGAAACCACAGCTTCCATACTCGCTTGGTCCAAATCTCTGAAATGCAAATTTTAAGAAGCTGTAGATCAGTTGGGTAGAATCAGTCCCTCCTTGCCCTGGCCAATTCTCCTTCCCAGTACCATGTGTCTTTCTTGCACCTCTTGCAGGTGAGGAGAATATTTACAGGAGTAACTTCTTAAACAAAGTTATGTCTCTCAGGACAAAAGCTATCACAAGGTGTCCAAACAACACAGGCTGTATGTGGATACCCAGTGACACCTGAGATGCTGTTAGCGACTTCAAAAACAGTTTAGTAGTTCTAACCTTGTCAGACATTTCACATCTTCATCTGTTGCTTGATTAGATGTTCCCATAACCCAGTCTGTCAAATATTCCACCATTTTGTTCCTGTTTAAAACAACAAAAACAATAGAAATATATAAAAGATAGAGCTTTTTTCCTCCTCCAACTCTTGCCCCAAAACATCAAAATATACTTTCTTTTTTAAATTGCACAAAATAATATCCTAGTCTGTTTCACATAGAATATATTTTCTATATGTATTAATATCTCCATAATATAGTTTTTTACTGAAGTGCCAAGGTCTAAATTATTAAACCTAAAGAAAAAAGAAGTAATTCCACTATGACATTATTTTAACATTTCTTTTTAAAATATGTAACCATCACTCAGAAGAAAATTACACCTATCCATATAATGTAAGTTTTATAATGCAATACTTACCTAAATTTCATTTCTTGGCAAAATGACAGGTCATCTCTCCTCTCCATCATTACTTCTACTAACTGACAGAGCTTAGTTTTTATTTGAATTGCATGTACCAAATTTCCAAGCACACGAACATACCTGAAGAAAAAAAGCAAAATAACTAAATAAACATTTCATAGTGCCCAAAACAAAGCCCACACATCTGACAAATGTTTCCAGTTTCATGTCAGAACCTACACACTGGACAAGGCAGCAGACGCGTGAAACTGGTTAGTGACTCTTTTGAGCCCAACTCTTTCCCAAGCGAGCAAGGCAGCCTCTAAGTCTGCTCAAGAACAGCACAAAACTGCTGCTGCCCAGGAAGCTCCCTGGTAGCACAAAGCTGAACACTCGTCTGCTTCAGCTGGTCCCCGTCCACCAAACACCAGGGGGAAGAGCCACGGAAGCTACGAAAGCTGCTCTCCATTAGCACACTTTATGCATAAATTATTTCCATGATTACTGTAGCTGTCAGAATTGTCACAGGGAAGATCACAGGATCAGCTTTTCTCCTACACAGACTGGAGCAAAATAGAAGTAAACCTGAGGGATCTGCCTCACTCCTTAAATGCATTACTCTGCTTGGGATGGTCAGCCAGGATTTCTTACCTAACCAGATTCAGCATCATTGTCTCAATACTAGCTTGTCCAAGGTGCTCTGAACTCCCTTCTGTGTGATTATCAAGCAAATTCTTCATTATAGCAATGGTTTGCTCTACAAATTGTGTATTTGTCTCAGTTAACAAAACCTACAGGAAGGAAAATTCTAGTTTTAATTCTTTGCACATAGACAGGAATATTTATCAAGTATTTCTACAGTTGTAGCATTTCAAAGTCTAATGAGTGTTTTCCTAGCATCCTCTAACAAAAATTCAAACACATATCAAGCCTTAAGGTCTCAGTACTATCAACTATAAGGATTTTGAGAACATATTCATAGATTTTGTATTCTGACAGTTATACATAAAATCACTAAAATCTCAGTAATGTTTTTAACCACATTAAGGCTAGAATCACAAATAAAAAGAAAATATGACGCATGCTCAAAAATATCATAATTTTTGCAAATTCTTTGCACAAAATTCAAATAGACACCAATTTCAATTACTTATGTGAAAGACAAGACCAATGCTATTTATTATATACAAATATGAAAGAATATAGCAACACTTTACCTGCCCTTGAGAATCAAAAAACTTGCTGATGGTGTTCTTCAATTTGTTAAACAGCATTGGATAAAGTGCTGGACTCAATTCCAAACCCACCAGATCTTTAATATTAGTCCGTATTTGCAGTCCCACTTTCTCATGGTTACAGACCATCAGAGTCAGCAATCGATCTATGAATTTGCTCACGGGAGTCTCTGCATTTCCCTCAGTGGATACCATAGATATCATGGAGCCCTTACGCTCGTTGACCGGGCCCATAGGAGGGCTGTAGGTTGCCAGTCCCGCGTTGCTGCGATGCTGCAGGCACACTCCTCCGAGAGCACATAAGAACCCTGTCATGTTGATCCATTCCTGAAGAGAATCCGTGTCAGACAAGTCTATGGAGCCTCCCCCACTAACGTGAGACATTCGCCTCTTAACAATTGTCTTATGAAGACTTTCGGTAACCTGAGAAAGAATGATCCAAGAAATCACTTCAATTAAACACAAATAATGGAGAGAGGTCAGAACTTAAAATGTTCTGAAAGGCGGTTTTGTCATTTGAAAAATCACAGCCAGGTTCTCCAAAAATCTTTCCCTGTCTCAAGAATTTAAAATTTGTCTTTAAGTACAGCTTATTACCATAGTATAAACAGAAATTCATCCAGAGGTCCTATTTTTAGAGAAGTCAAAAAAAGCAGGGTAGAAAAACAAACTGCAGGGGGTTGTCTAGTCCATTCACTGCTCTGAAGCAGGACACAGGATAACTTCAGACATGCCAAAGACCTTCCAGTGAAAGAAATGCCACTTGCCCCAGTAGTTTCACTGTTCTTTAGTCAAAATTCTTCTCAATTCTTCAGCTCAGCCTCTACGCTCTTAAAGCAAATTATTTGCTGTATCTTCCTCCATAGGACAACTAACTATAAATATTTTCCTGGAATACTTCTATGGAGCTTAGGTCCCCCTACAATTCTCCTTTTTCTAGATTAAAATCTCAGTTCCTCAAAATTAATAAATTCAATTAGTCTACTTCAAATTTCTGAAGTAGGAAGCCATGGAAAAATTCATAATCACCTGTCCATCTTCCATTTTGGTTTTTGGATAATTGAGGATTAGTTTTGTAGCTTGTTCCCATTTTGCATGTGTATCCTCCCAGGCCTAAAACAAGACACATCAAGATTTACCTTCAGAACTACTGATATGAAGAGTATATATAAAAATGCATCTGATTTCAGAAGAAAGTTTACCTCTGTGTTGCCTGCGGTTGGATGTTCAATGCGTCTTAATAAAGCCATCACTCTCTTCTGAAGAGCTGCTCTCCCTACAAAGGGGCACAGAACACTTATCCAGCAGTTCCAACAAAAAATGTCATCTTTGAAAACAATTATTAAACCAGCAAGAGGAGCAAACCCCTTTTAAAGTTTTTAGAAAAAGACACTTCTTGTTACACTCAAGAATCCTCATGAATATACTCCAAATCTAAAAATACTCTAAATTCTATATTCTATATTCTCTCTGAAAATTCTCAAGATTAATATATTTCAATGAAAGCAGGAGTAAAAATCAAATCACATAATTTACTTAGCAAACTCAAGCTCAAACAACAGTTGGATTAAATAAGCAGAAAGAAATTTTCCATAGGCATCATTCTTACCTGTTGACATCATATTGCTAACAGATGCAAATTCCATGAAAGTGTTGTAGTTTGGCAAAAAATTATGAACCGAGACTTCATCTACCCCACATCTGATATCTGCTTCCTCACAGAGATGCCGGAAACAGGACATTGCAACAAGGACTGCCTCAATATCAGGGCTCCACAAAAACATGTACAGCGCGACTTCCAATTTTGTTTGGGCTTGGCGACAAATCGGTGTCCCACTGCATCCTGCTGTACTTTCCTTGGGAAACAGAGATTTCCAAATTTGGTAATATTGCCTATGAATATGACAATTTTCTTTGAATTCAGCTTTACTCATATCCTTCTTTAACTGTGCTTTTATTTCAGCAGGAATAAGCAATCCCAACTAAGATCAGAACTCTACTGAGCATAGGCATGCTAGTTGTGATCCTAAGAAGATTCACCAACAGTTGATTTGAAAAAAGTGCAAGTTTTTCAAGTTTGAAACACCAAAATTATTTGGCATATTAGATAATATACATAAAGGACATAGCTGATTATTGACTAAAACGAGAAAATTAGAACATAAAAGCTTGCTAGAGCTTTCTCTTCCCAAGAAATAATTATTTTTAAAAATCAGTCCCAAAGTGATTAAATTTCTACTAGCACGCTGATTTTTTTCCGTACACATCGGAAAAGAATTATCATCTATTACTTACTATGGAAGAATTCCCTTTCCCTTTCCTGAGGGTAGCTCCTGGAGTACAACGTATCATCTCTTCATGGTCAAGGGAAATTTGACTAGTTCCACTTCCAGAGACATCATAAAGAAAGAGAAAGTGACAGGAACTCCTATCTGATTGCTATAAAGAGAGGGAAGAAAACAGTAAGTCAAGGATTTTTGTTTTTTAAGGGTAAAAGGGGCAAATTTCATAAAGGAAAGGTTGAATAAATACATGACATCTTTCACATGTGTGTTCAGACAGCTTTGCAAAGCTACACTCATTAATGGCTGCTTGGCAAGGCTAGTTCTACTTCTAGCAGGCATCTCAAAAATGGCATTAGAATGTGTTTCACTTGCACAAAGTCTCTTCAGATTATCAGAAAGAAAACAGAATTTGAGGGATTACGTTAAAATGAGATACATATAAAAAATTCATGAGACTGTATATTTTATCATAAGCATCTTCCCCTTTTTCTCACCTTGTAGAACATTCCCCTTTTGTATTAAGGCAATTAGCAATAGGTATCAAAATGTTCTTCAAAAACAACTTTGAGATTTTTGCAAAACATGTACTTTCTGGGCAAGAAGAACCAAGTAAAACAACCTGTGAAGTTAGAGAGAAAAAAAAATCTAAACCTAACCTTAGTTAAGCATTCTAATCACAGATGCTTCACACAAAGCATTTTCTCTTAATAGACAGGAAATTAAAAAAAAAAAGTGTAGGTGTAGCTATTAGATCGCTTTCCAGGATAAAAATAACCTGCAAATAAAGGGAGTGATGAAAGATACCAACTCTATTTTAATAATCTTAATAGACAGGTTTTAAAATTTACTTACTTTGTTCTTTAGAAGAAACTTATTCCTACAAATGAGAATTTCTCTCAGCCACTTGAGGATTTCTGTGCTGCTGAGCATCTGATGACTAGTTAGTTTCTTGCAGATATAAAAAAGCATTTGTGAACTGCAGCAAAACAAAATTCAGCATTAGCTTTATCATCCAGTAACAAAATTTTTGAAAATGCTATCACTATATTTTACATAGAAATAGGCAATTAGTGTGAATATCCTACACATACATAATAGTGCCATCTTTTTAAATGTATAACAGATATAGTATAGGTTCATACTTCAAATGGCAATGCCCCTCTGACCCTTCCCACCACCCAAGTGGCCTTTTTAGCTCCTCAGAGGAAGTTAAGCAACTTGGGTACTCGTTAGAAGTGCGGACTCCAGGGCTGTTGACTGAGCAGGCTTCCTTCTATCCACGGAACAGATACAGCACAGACAGGGGCAGTACAACTTTACCTACACTGCTCTGACAACGTGTCAACTCTGCTCTGGAAGGAACACAGCTAGGGATGTTCCTTCTTCATATCCACTCAGGCCTCACACTCTCTGTTAAAACTGCCAAAGGGTCCAAATTAGTGTCAATTTTAATGGGTTTCTGCCCCAGCCCAAACAGATCACAAACTCATTTTAACTATTAGAAATTAATGAGTTTTGGTTACTGCCCATCTAGGCAGGACTCAGCCCCAAACTATTCCATAACAAGCCACACTTCGCAGTCGGGCAGGCCTATAAGTCTTCCTCCTACACATCAATTCCCTGTCTTCTAAAAGAAACACCTGTACCAGTTCAGATGAGATCACCCAACTAGTTTTTAAAATACTTTTGCTGACGCTGCTCTTAATTCTAAGTTCACAGATTCCCGTTTTTTGTTTTGAGCTTTTTGTGTAATTCCAACATTTTGGATTTCTATTCAGCTCAATATCTTCCAAGAAATCAACTGCAGCTGCTGTGAAGTTATAAAAAGCAAGGTGACAATGGAGAGCCAGGGCAAACAAATAACTTCCTCCAGGTGAGTCAAAAATAGCAAATCACACACAGGAAATTACCCCCAGCATCAACCTCCCTTGGACCCCAAAGGAGAAAAAAAATTAAACAGCAAGCATGTCAATGAGGACAAATCCCTAACTTCTAAAACTAATAATCACTATCACATCTTAATGACAGGCTGATGAAAGGCATCGAGAAAAACAACAGGAGGTTGTTATTTTTGACTTGAAATTGTAAAAGAAAGATTTTTCTTTCTCATGAACACATAAATAATATTGAGTGCAGACTCATGCTGACGGTGCATAGCTTTTCCAAAAATATTCACAGCTATTTCAAAGAAAAGACAAAGGAGAACAGCTTTTTCTCTTAGTATACAACAGTTAGCTTACATACCTAATTTCCCAGAATGTTTCTATAGGAGCATCAGGATTCCACAAGTCAATGCTGTCTAGTTGGTGAAGAACTAGCAAGGCCTAAATTCAAAATAAGTTAAGAGTATCACTAAAGATCAAAGTTCATAGAGTACTTTGAATTCCAGGCAGAACTCAGGTGCAGTCATATATTAATTACATTTTTAACATCATTTCTCTTTTCATATTGTTTTGAAAACATTTCTATAGGCTTATATATACATATACAAAACTACACAAAAAAAGGAGTTTATGGTTAATCCAAATCAAAACTATATTTTTTATATTTACAATCCAAAAAAAGAGTATTTGTCTTATTTTCATGTAAATCCATACTGGACACAACACTTTTTTTTTTTAAATACATTTTGACTTTAACAGTGAATGAATCAACTGAAAAAAAATACAATCACACAGATACAAATTTATAATGGTAACAAATGAGGACAGGCAAATACTTTGCTTTTTGTGACCACCTATACTAGGAAAAATTGAACCGCAAGAAAGGTTTCTGACTGTACCTGTGAGCCTACTGCTGAAATATGGTCCAAAAACTTAACCTCCGCTTTTGACATAGCCAGCTAAACTCCAGCTCAAAAATCAGCTATTCTAAAATTAACTGAATACAGTTTACAAATAAATACATATGTGATGACAATTTAACTGGTCGAAGACTATAAACAAATAGAAAAATTGTTGTTGAGAAATCATGAACCTAGCAATAATTATAATAAAATGAAACCCAAATTCACAGCAAGCCAAAGTTTTTCCATCTCTACCTGTCACTAACAGCACGGATGTCACCACAACAGGTACCCCTTACCTCCATGGCTTCTTGTGCTATATCTGGCATGCTGGACTGTGGAACAAGCTGCACAAGGCCTGTAATTAATTCTGCAGTGCTACCTTGTGTCTCAGGCCCTTGCTTCCTTGGATTCTAAATAGGAAAGGGAAAGGAAGGTGAAAAAAATATCTTTTAATAACAGATCATGACATGACATGATTCCGTTTGTACACAACCCTGATGAATCTTCAGCATTTTTTAAAAAAACCTTTGCCTAATCTCTCCTATATTCAATGTTAGAGAAATTACTATCGTAGGTTTAGGGAGAAACTAATAAAGGTCTAAGAGGGCATCTGCCTTTCTACTCATGGAACTGTTACCCAAATCTGTTTTTCCCTCCCTCATCTTAAGTTTCTTCTTACTCTATTCCCTTCTTTTTTTTCTCTTTCAGAATTATGAAGACTTAACACCTGTCTTTATTAGCTATTCTGGGTCTTTAGAATTTTTTTTGACATCTTCCTTATACAGTATGCAACCATTATAACTGGGGGAAAAAAAATTGAATTAATATGACATACTTACACATAGCAAAAGCTTTGGGTCAGCATGGATGAGTTTTACCAAGGATAACAGCAAGAATTTGTAGCTTCTGGTTTCCAAATCTGTAGGTTTTTCTTTAAATTTAAGGCTTGTCATTTTCTCTTTAAATGTAAGACTCTAACAGGAAGGAAAATCAGAGAAATTGTTAATGAGGTACTCTATGTAGTGAGTTACAATTAAACATTTTAGGAGTGCCGCGGGAGCAAGGCCTGTGCGTTGCGGGGTGCGAGTCTGCCTGCTGCCTCCTGGGACAGGCTACGACGCGAAATTTCACTCCCTCCTTTAGGTGCAGACAATCCGTACGTGTCTTACCGGTGTCATGCGAATTGCTGGGTGTGCCCCACAACCTTGAATAGCTTTCTGAAGTGTCTCACTGAACATGCTGCGAAGCTCCATGGAATGACAGTACACAGCATCAATCTTGGGCCACCAGTCCAGCGCAGACTAGAATTAAAAGGCAGGAATGCTCAAGCAGTTTACGCGACATCACGGGTGACATTCTGATTTATTTTAAAATCTGTAAGTTACAAAAGCTGTGATAAACGACCTTTAAAAATAGATATGATTGACACAACACTGCTGTTCTATTAAGTTTTCATTCTAGCCAGAAAACCGCTAATATTTAGATGGGCTGCAGCAAAAGCAGTACTTCCAAGTTAGCTGCTTACTGTGTTACATCTCTTTATGTATAACCACCAACTCAGAAACCGTGACTACAGGAAACCATGGCAGACTTTAGGATACCGAAAGCTAACAAGTGATACTTCAAAATGAGCACTGAATATGTGCTCAGTTCCTTATGATACACTGAATGAAACGGAATGTTGATATGGTAAATTCTTAGTCATCTCTGAAATACTGTATAATACAACATGTTAAATAAAGCATAGCATCTATTGTGAAAGTGTACAAAAAAAATGTAACAGAATTGGAAGACAGGGAGAACAAAGATGTGATTGCCCTTCTTAGTAACAAACAACTCCTGCTGCATGGATAAAGGCAACAAGATTTGTTGTGCCATTTAAATTCTATTTACCAACCAAATATTAATAGGAAGAGAAGCCACAGACACTTAAACACTTCCAGGACTTACATTTGTGATTATTCGGTGGAGTGAATTTACCAGGACATAATGAAATGTCGAAGGGGAATTCTGGGCCAAGCAGATCTAGAACAAAAATAATTCATAAAAGCCATTTAGGAACATATTTCTCTTTGACATCTCTCCCATCTAACATATTAGAGCCTTTTTTTTTTTGAATTGGAAAAAATATCAAATATAAACATAAGAATGTCTAACCAGCTAAGAACAGATTTATAAAAACATGAAGGAAGTTATTACTAAGGAATATTTACAAGGTTGAAATTATTTATGAGTTTCCAGTTGCAGCTGACATGTCTCTGATAATTCCCAGGCCATCAAAAGCACGTGGAGAAAATGACCAGCAAGCACCAGTGAGTAGTGTTCTCACCTTAAAGTGTTGGTTGTTGCGAGGGTTTATGCGGAAGCAGGAAACTAAGCAGTCAATCATAAGGTCTACATCTGCATTCTGATTGCCTCTTGAGAATGGTTTGCTTGGATTAAACAGCAAGTTCTACACATAAAATAATCAGATACAAAGATTATTCTTGTCTACCTTCAATACATCACAGGAGAATAAAGGAGAGAGAAGCTATTCTTAATTTACAATTTTTAACTGTCTCTTAGTACTTAAACCTAAAATCCTTAATTCACATTCCTTTTAATTCTAACAAATAAATCAATAAATCAATCATTACTTCTAAAAAATTCCTGAAATAAGATTGTATTTTAATATGCAGATAAAATATCCACTGTCTTTTCAGTCATGAAATGCTGAGTAAAGAGCAGAATGCAGAACTTCAGCAGAAAGAAAGCAGGGCATAAGCAAAATAGTTAAGGGAGTGAGACAGGCAAAGAAACAACTGAGTTGATTTTCTGTTGAAATTAGAAAAAAAGTTTTCCAGTGAAAAATACTATGATAGTCAATTAAGGAGAAAAATATTTTCCATCTTTTAAAATTCAAATTTCTTCACTGTAATTAGGAAAGTAAGATTTCTTTTTTACCTTAAGATCTACTACCATGGACTGCACCAGCAGGAAAATGACAGAATTATCTTCCCAGTTGATGTAGGTAGATGCTTTGCACAATTTCACACAAGCAATAGCAGCACTTTCAGTCAGCTGTCTGCTTCCACTGTGGCCTGCAAGGGCTTTCCTGAGATTGTCCAGGAACAGTTTCTGTTCAAATCAAAAACAGTTATAACCACAGGTTTGATAATCTACAGTCAAGAGTTTTAGATTCTTAACTATTAAGCAAAATGGTGATTTCAGATCAGAAGTCAGGGATATGGGGTTTGCAAAAAGCCACCTGAGTTCATGCATTATTCTGGAGAAACATTATGTTTATTACACATTCATTTTGGACCTGCTAAGGCCATTTGGATGCCACAAGTATAGACTGTGTTCTACACTTTAACATACAGCTTGTGCCACATCTGCTGCAAGTACTGCAGTTACAGAACACGCTACAAACTCTGCAGAACCGAAGCACGATACAACACAGCCAGCTAGAGCAGTGCTAAACTTGCTGCCGGCAGAGGCAGCGGAAGGCCAACTTGGGGATTCTGGTCTCCAGGGAACAGTGCAAGTTCTGAACCAATGTTGGTTTGGGAAAAACAGCCTGTATAAAAATTCCTGACAATGAAAGAATATAGATAAGGCTGTAACTGTAATAAGGATGCAGAAATTTACATATGGAAATGTAATGCACTTTTTAGGTAGAAAAAGACATAAAATATACCTTAAATATAGAATAAGACAAGACAAGCTCTCTTTAAAATTCAAATACATACCAGAATTCAGATATTTTTCTTCTCTTACCTTGTTCATTTTAGTTTCTTCTACCACATCCTTTGCTATATCTTGGATTATCTCAGGACACAGGACTAGCAGTATGATTTGCAGGGGCCAGACTGCTGCTTTACGCTTTGTGCTTTCAGCAAAGCCATCCACTAAGTCAAACAACTTCTCTGCACAATCTGCATAAAACACAGCCAAGTTTAGTACTAACTTGAATTATGAAGTGAAAAATAAGTTTAAGAAAGCAGCAGAACAGCTCCTTCTTAACAGAGCAGAGTTCTGTTTTGCACGTTATTGGGGAAAAAAATGGGCTACAAGTCAGTCAGTCATGATTTATCTGGGAAAAAATAAAAAAAAAGCTGCATCATCTCTTCTTGACTAGAGCCAAATGTATATGACTGTCTTTAAACTAATTTTTTAAAAATGCATTTAAGAGAATCTTTTAGGTTGTATTTTCTTGTTTTGTGAACAACAAATGAAACTCTTCCAAGAGTTCAGTCAGGAGAGGAAAGACTTCACTATGTCCCTGTCTGCCCAGATATAGGTTGACAGAAATATGTTTCTTACTATGCAGGCTGCACAAGAAGCAAGGAGGACACAAAAACCAAGTGAATATGGGGCTGTTTTAGGAAAAAAACCTTTGCTCCTCTAAGGGAGAGAAGAGGAGGGGGAAAAACAAACCAACTTTTGAACACTAAGTCATTTGTTATGTCTTACCAGCCATATCAGTCTGTGGTGTTTGATACAGCTTTGTGAATTCATCGGGATAGTTTTCCACCCAGTTCCAAAATGCCTGCAGATAACACAAAAAAACTCCTTTACATTCAACAGCTAAGAAAGAATTTTTTGCATCATATGTTTCAGTGAAGAGAGATCCCCCTCCTCCTTCTAATGACTCAGCATTTCCTGCAACACACACGCACATACACACACACGCGTACTGGAGGGATCTACCACCATACAGTTTACACAAAACTATTAAATCACAGCAATTCTAAAATTGAAGATAGCCTGTTAATAAGCGATGAAGTTGAAAATAAATAATAAGATACTTGCCTTTTCAAGACTGTTGATAACAGCTAATTGAGCTACTTTTTTTAGGGCTTTAAACTTGAATACTGTCTCTGCAAAGACAAAACATTTCTGTATTTGAAAGAAAACCTTTGTTCTAAAAAGCAATATAGAAGATTTATAGTCTGAAGTGCAAAGCAACTTTTAGACCAATACTGTTATGCTACTGAAATTTTAAAAAATCTGTCAAATATATATGAATATCTGGAGTAAAATACAGCAATAAAGATATACACACCAATACCCTTGTATCATCTTTAGCAATCTTTAAAGATAAATATTTATCTAAACACGTTAACATCATACCTTGCAAGAGTCGTTTGAGTTTTGCACAATCCACACTGATGTACTGTAAAAGTTCAATATCATGAACATCAGCATTATCTTCTGAACATACAGTCAGCTCCTGCAACCTAAAAATATGCAAAGTAAACCAATTTCTCAGTAAGACAACGTCAGATCAATATGATAGGTATGACTCTAAACATCTGAACATTAGGGGAATATATGATCTCCACATATCTTCTCCTGTGAGCATCTCCAGGTTAAAAATGAAAAACAGGCCCTGCATGATTAAGAGGCCCTGCATGATTATAACACTTTTATTCCATGCCCACCTTGAAAATGCAGAGACAATAATGATGAACGCAACAAGAGATCAATACCACCTCATGATACGCTGCTTACAGTGAGATTTCTGTTATCATATTGTAACAGCAGTCAATGTCACCTTTCCATCTAAATACTAAACTTATGGAATCATGACACCTTTTCCCTACTGGCCCTTAACAGCATGTCTTGCATCACACTAACTTCTCAAGAGCAAAGGAACAGCTGATGGGTCCTGATGTTGTTGCGAGCTACAAATGTTCTTCATAAGCTAAAGCAGTTCCACCTTTTCCTGCCCTAAAGAAACAGGATCAACACAAATCACAGTCCTCTAAGCAATATGGTACATTTTCACACTTTTGTATTAAATAATTTACTAAACATCTCACCAGATCCTTAGCTGCTAATAACTAAATCACGTCTCACAAACGAAGGCTGCCGTGGCTTGTTCCAAAGCTACAGATGTGTACTTGACATGGAATGTGATTTCTAGTACTACACACAAAAGCTGCTCTTCATTTCTTCAGCGCCGGGGAAACTTAACAGCCCACGCTGGGAATGGGAAGGTCCCCACTGCCGTGCTGTTCGTGCCAAAATTCCCCCAGCTGCTGTACAAGGCCTAGAAATATGCCTAAACAGGAAGCCCGGGTCAAGGGATCAGCAATGCTAACTGTCGGCAAGCTGACCCCCGTGGAGATTAGCAACAATCGGTCAGACATTTAACTATTTCTGTGCAAGCCATTTTAAATTAGAAATCGGCACGGGGAAAAAAATGAAAACAACCCTCCCCCGTAAAATGTTCCAGCTCAAAATGATGGTAAAAGAATGGTTTTGTGACTTAAGAACTAGCCTATACCATAGACATATGAATAAGTTAAGACTTATGGTCTAGATTCAAAGACTGTCAAAGAAGTTCATCTAAAAATTATTTCCTATAAAAGGAGCAAAAGAAAATGTTTCCTGATTCATAACTAAATATTATCAGTTTATCGAGCAAAAAATCAGTCCTCCACGCCAAGTCTAAGTACTCAAAACAGAAATTATTAAAGCAGACGTTACTCATTCAACTTCAAGATACAGCAATATACTTTGGAGTTATCTTTAGCTTGGCTCTCCAATAGCATTTGGCTTACATTTATAAAAGTAGATTGAAAAGCAATGCAATATATATAACACACGGGAAATACACTGGAATCTGGAATGGATATAAAATGCATACATTTTATAACCTGAAATTTAAGCAAAATTTCAACAGGTAGGAAGTACTTCAGTTAACTATCTGCTGAATTATCTTTACTTAGCCGACTTTTCTCAGATGCAAAATGCTACAATTCATGCAAATGTTCTAGATCCAAATATTGTTCAGCCTTCTCATGCATGGGCCAAGCTAAGCTACTGAAGTACTTACCTGGTGGAAATGCGGCTGAACACAGCATTAAAGTTATTGCAGCTAAGAGAAAAAAGAACCCCCGAGGCCGAATTGCGCAGTTCAGCCGCGTGCTGGTTCCCTTCACGGTAAGTGTGGATGAAGTGGCAGATTTCTGGCAACAACTGCTTCACCAGCATAGTCTCATCTAGTCGCATGGTATCTTTCGGTTGCTGAAAATAAATATTTGATATTCGATGAAATTTCATTTTGTAGGTTTAGAGGGAAAAAAAAAAAAAAAAAAAAAGCAGTGTCTGGCCACTAGTTGTATCACAGGACCTGAATCTGATCATCTTATCCTGCCTGCAGGCTACCACTGGGGTATAAGCAGTCTCCACTGAAAAGGCTTTTTTTCATTTTGACAATAACCCATATTCACACAATTCTACATTTTTCAGGTTAGACTCCAAAATATGTAGGACACTAAACTGATCATACTCTCAAATATCAAGCCAAATGCCAAACTATTTTTTGAAATTAAGTACATTCCTGTTGTGAGGACTGTATCCTGTTGATCTGGGTACAGTATAAGCAGTAGAGCATTAAGTGATCACTATTTGAACGGAAGCTCAAAGGGCAAAACACCTACCCTTGCTTTGCTTTTGGATAGTATTCTTACCACCATATTTTGAAAGTAAATATTTTTTCTAAATGAACTGAAAAACGGTGATTCTCCTGAGCTCTTGCTTGGGATTGTGCTATACGAGTCAAAAATGGCTCAACTTCCCTGCAGAACAAATATCCAATTTTTGCCAATTTGCACAGTATGAGACATTAGGAAACTATTTGCAAAAGAATTTGAAGTGAAACTTTGCTCTACTAAGAGCAAGTTTTAACAGAAGGGTCAACATTAAAGCTTTATAAAATTCTACCAATGAATTTACCATAGGGAATTGGGAAGTTTCAGAGACTCCCACTTAGTTGACCTGAGTCCTGTTGCCATGAGAACTTGGGTGAAACATTGAGCAAGAACAGTGAGCAAGAAATACATCCGAAGACACCACAGAACACAACGCTCTTTGTATAGAGCTTTGGCTCAGTCTTAGTGGATGTATACTGGTTCAACTTGCTCTCATTTGAACTGAGGGCCAGAAGCATTCAGCACAACCATAGTCTGTTCAAATATCATTGTGAATCAAAAAAAGACATTGTTGTAAGAAACGAGATTTAAGGCTTTTTGACCCATACTTTTTGAAGACCCACTAAGTTTTTGAATCAAACACAAAAAAGGGCCCCAAAGAGGCAGTCACTTTATCTTAAAAAGCTGAAACTATTCTGCAAATTGTATTTACCTGGATCTTTTGTGAAATTAGAAGTATTCACAGTTATTCAGACTGTTTTAGTACTGTAATAAAAGATATGCTGCTTGCCAAAGTTATTTATAATATGTTCAATATCTTATAAAGAAAGAACCTTCAAAAACAGTTGCAAAGAAACAGCAAAGCGCTTGCATGATTTCATGATATTTATCCCGGAATAAAGCTTTTTAAAAAAACCCATCCCTTTCTTGTTAAAGGAATAAACTAGGAATAAACCAGAAGTTTTACAAATTTTGCTCACAGTGAAGTTTGGCTTTGCAATTATACAGTTGAGCAGAGTGAGCTGTACAACCGCTTACATCCCAGAGGTAAAAGCAAACTGCTTTTCAGCACAGCTCTGATTGGAAACCTCGGGACTGGATTCCCAATGGAAGTCTGGACGCGGTTTACTAATGTAAACTAGGAAACACCTGCAAAAGTAATCTTTGGAGGAGTGATAGCAAAGTTTCTGTTGCATGTAAAATTACATGAAACTGAAATAACATTGCATCACCAAATGAAAATCACAAGAAATCTTAGGAAGAATCAACCCTGTCTGCAAAAACTTTAGTAATATCACATTTTAGTAGTTGCACTGAATTTTCTATTTTTAACACATTAAACTATCTAACTATCTTTTTTTTTTTTTTTTTTTTTTTTTGAAGTGGGGGGAACAAAGTGTTTTCAAGCATCTGGTCAAAAAATTAGCAAGCAAAATGCCACTGGAATTATGAAAGTCTATGACACTAACCAAATCAAAATCTTTGTGTTCATGTACTTTCTTATTTCGTTTCAGTTCACATACATGTATAGACTGTACAAGTGCAGACACTTGTACTGCACATTTTAAAGAATGAAGTAAACTGGTTTTCTTAACTCCACGAAGAAGCTGAGTATCAGGAAGGGCAATCCATTCAGTTTTAAAATGAGCTCTAAATATTATTACTAAAATTATCATCACTGATTTTATACAGGAAAAAATATCCACTCAACAAATCCTTAACTCATCATTAATATTAACTACTTACATTTATAGGAAGTCTTGGTGCCCTTTTTTTTTTTTTTAGCATGAATTAGCATGACTCCTACTTTTCTCTAAATCAGATGAATTTTGACTTCAATACCAGTAATAACAGATACCCAAGCATTCATATGACTTCGACTAACTCACTTGATTTCAACTCAGCAACTGCTTATGCAAGACTACTCACCCCTGCCAGACATTTTTCCAGTGTATCCAAGATAATCAGCTGAGATAGATATAAATTTTTTTCAGCAGTTTCACCAAATATTCTCTAGAATAAGAAAGGATACAGATTTATCTGAGGCACAAAAATTTCACTTGTAACACAGTCCAGTAATGCAGCATAGTGACACAATAAGCTATGGCTCCTTTATAACTCTGGCTTTAATTTTAGAAATAAAAGCAGTAAATATTAGATTATAATACAAATTAAATCCTAGCTGCTGAAATGAAGAAGTATTCAGTCTGCAACACCTTAATCTAATAAGGAACTAGCAGGCCCTAAAACAGGCTAGAGTCGCACTGTGGCCCCTTACTCTCACCTGACCTACAGTTCACCAGAAGAGGAGCTTTTATCTTTTCAGCAGTTATTTTAGTATTAATTTTTGATGATTTCACTGCCAAAACCTTACTTAATAGAACTGATGTTTCCACAAGTCCAGACCTCCAAACTCGTTCAAGTGCAGCAGAATTTAGCACAGACCACAGGAAGAAACAGCCACGGGACCCTCCAAGCAGACACTGCACTTCAGAGGAGCTGCTGGCAGAACTGCACCAGGCACCCAAGCTTATTGTCAGCAACAGCGACTAGTCCCAATAATATTAAGACTGAGGGTGCAAAACAAAGCAGAAAAAAAGTGGCTAAAAATACACTGCCTGCAGAGGGAACACAAGGTAGAAGTAACCCAAAAGAAGTTATATTTAAAGCTGCTTGAGAGGTTAGTTCACCTAATTTTAAGTTTCAACAGAGCAAAACCCTCAAGATTTTGTTGTGAGCACAAGAGTATTATGACAGCCTGTTGGTTTATTCTCCTATTTTTCCTTCTTTCCTCCCACCAGAGGAATCCTTCCAAAATACTGCTGACTCGCAAGCAGCTCTCTCCATCAACCACAGGTCTTGCTCCTCAGTGCAAAGCAAACAGGGACATTTTTATGGACATTTTTAGCAAGGTCTTTCTTCTCAAAATCTACATATTGTATACAGATATTTCTTTTGATTGTATAGACAGCCTTATCAGACTGAGACGATCCTCATTTAATTAATTCCTTTTCAAAAGGATTACAAGTAGCTTCAGGAAGCCAAACCCATTAGAGCAAGGCAGCATTTTTTGATTTCTGATCTGATCAATCCTTCACAGTGCTACAGCAGGTCCAGCTGACTGGAAACACAAATATTAAAGCAACAAACCAGCCTAGAAAGTTCACACTAAGTTTTAAGTCCTTGAGCTTCATCTTCCTCAAACAGCTCCTAGCAGGTAGTGCTCTTTGCTGGGCTGCATTCCTCCCGTGCCGACTTCTCGGGATCCTTCCCGAGCTCCCTGGACTCCTTCCACGCCACAGAGCAGCCTCTCCCTCCCCAGCTCCCAGGAATCACAGCTTTGTAGCGGCCTGCCCGGCGGGCACCCAGCACCGCGCGCACCGAGCACAGCAGCGTCAGGTGCCCCCACGTCCCCGCGCCCCAGTTAGCCCCGCGCCCCTCTAGCCACAGCCCAGTCCCAAGGGTAACACCGAGGAGCCCCTTAACCAGCACCTCCTTGGGCTGCACAGCGACCCCACCAGCCCTCTCTGCAACAGCTCAGCACTGCTGGCGAGCGTCCCTACACAGGAGGGTGAGAGCAGCCAATTTAACTGGAAAAGGCAGGCTACAGCTTGACGAGCTTCAAATCACTTCCTGCAGAGTTGATAGAAGGAAATAATATTCTGAAAACATCCAACAAACCAAAATTAGAAAACTTACCATGTTATTAACATTTTTTAAGATATTGGTGAGACCACTTATGACCAGGGAAAACTTGTACTTGGAAATGTTTATGAGACATTCCTTGTTGTGTTCTGTGCTGACTTTGGTGTGGGTATTCTGCTGGCCGGCTTTTATGGGAAGCTGCAGAAAAGAAATAAGCCTTTTAAGCTCTTTTTTACATTAAGATTTACATATTTAAGAAAGGGTTCAAAATCTTTTGAGATATCAGAGAGTACTTTGAAAAACACTCCATAAAAACCAACAATACACAGAGTCTGATTATTTCACTTTATCCATACTTATCCTAGAGATAACTGTAAGGCAAAATACGGAAGGCTGCCTATTGCTTTCTCCTGCCCTGAACCCAACCTCTGTTTTGTGTTCCCCAACTACCAGCCAGAAGAAAAGCCGGGCCGGTGGCCCCAGCCGCAGCAGCCACTCTCGTGCCCGAGGCCGGGCTGGCCAGCGCTCACAAGGCCCCGTGTGGGACAGTGGGGCCAATGCTGAGCGGGAACATGCCCCGCGGGGAGCAGCGGGAAGGCGCCCGGCGCTCCCTGAGCCTCCTTTCCCTCCGGGCCCCTGGACAAGCTGGCAGCAAGGCCGTGCCGCGTGCTGAGGGCCGGGATCACCGCGAAGTGCCGGGCAGACGGGGCCGCCGCCGGCCCTTGGCGGAGCTCGGAGCGACACGCAGCTCGAGCCGCACGTCTGCCGTCCTCGCTCAACCCCCGTGGTGAAAAGGCCTTCAGGTAGAGCTCTCTGAACACAACCGCACAAACCGAGATGTCCAGCCTAATGCTACCGCGTGAACACGAGATACTTCCATGCTGAGAGAGACCAATGCAACTACCGAGCCTGAGAAAACCCTCATCTCTCCACAGGTCCCAGTTCATTCCCATCTCGGACCTCTCAGACCCAAGCTGCAGCATCAGCTTCCAACACAAACTGAACAGCTTTGTGCAAAGGCAAGAACGCTGCATGAGGAGGACAGAAAAGTACTCGGTAATTGTGGTATGATTCTCCCATTGAAAGAAAATTGAAAATAATTAGGTTCCACAGAGCTATCCTGAACATAAACATGCTGACTTACCACCAATTGGAAAGTCGACCAAAAAATTCATAAATTCAGCGCTGCTGTTTATTTTTTTAGCTTGATGCTGGTATTTAGGAGCCTGCCTAACTAATAATGACAGTATCAGAAAATTTAAAGCATCTTCACTAAAAAAATGTGAGCACATTTTTACTATTTCCAGTGAAGAAAAAAAAACAAAAAGAAAAGTTTGTTTAACCATGAACAATCATTCTGATGAACAGTTTTGGAATATGAGAACTCCAAGATACCACAAAGAAGAAGAAAAACAAACAATCCAGCACTCATTATGCCTATACCGTTCCTGACGATGGGTAACTGCACTGAAAAGCAAGGAAGCCGCAGTGGGGGTCGCAGTGAGGGACCGCGTGCATGGGACGCGTCCACAGGAGTGCCGGGCAGCTGCGGCATGCGGCCCCGCACCGCTGCGGCGTGGAGCAGCGCGGAGCAGCCCCGGGGCACAAGCTCCGAAACCCCGGCCCTTCCTAGCCGCCTCGCAAGTCCACAGCCCAGAGCTCTGCGCCAGCCTGATGCATTTCAGTGGGCTCCTTCTAAAACTGGGAAAGGAAGAACACACACCATTTATGACTCAGGCTTTATTTTCATTCTTAGATGTTATTTTTACAATACATTTTCAGAAGTCATTAGTCAGTGGAAGATAGATATATTTAATTAAAATTTTCAGCATTACTAGTACTTTTTATTTGGATGTTCAAGTCTCTGTGCTGACAGCAGCAGAAAAGCTCAGTACCACTGAGTGATAAAATACTTCACAAGTGCCTCTCAAAGAAATGGTGTCATGGATCTAGTTCTGTAGGCTTCCATGCTACAGAAACATCCTCTTACGTATTGTTTGGAGCTTCCTGCCACAACAGACACTGCAACAAGGTCACTTACAAATAAAACTGCTTTTTATATTATCATTTGAAGATGTATAAATAGGGAGTATTAGCTCTGATTTTTTTTCATATTATTTATTTTTTTCCCTTATGTATTCTGACATGCTGAAGCATTTTATGTACCCAAACTGAACATAGCGCTAGCGTCAAGTGACTTAAAGCAAACAATTTAACTTTTACACTGATAGATATCAATCTAAAGATCACAAGAAAAAAAGAAAACAGCTTTACTTTTATTACTGCTAATTTAATTTTTAATTATAAAAAGAAATTAAGACTCAAAGCTAAAATAAGCCTGGAGCTTCAAGCTATGAACATAAGCACCATCTTGAACTCCTCCCAGTTTAGCAAAGGGATAAGCTACCACATAATTGGTTTCCTCTTGCAGTATGTTAAAGTAATACAAAATGTTTCTCCTAAAAGCTTCAGAGGAGTATTTTTTAAGAAAAGAATCAGTTAGGCCAACTTAAAACCAGGAATCAACTGCTGACACCTTAGGAAACATTCCTGAAGCAGTGTTTTGAAAGCTCTAACACCCTCAAGGTTGAGGGCACGCCAGCTTACTGTAACCTCTATGCACTAACAGGACATGAATTATTAACCATTCTGCCATGGTGCCGAGCAGCTTCACATCCCCAGCCACCACCGCGTGTCTGCAACGGCCTCCGCAAAGCCTGCGGTGCTGCTGGAAGGAGAAGCCCAGCTCCTCCCCGGGGCTGCCCCTTACCTCTCCGCTTCAGCGAAGACAAGGCTGGCAGGCTCCTCAGAGCCGTGAGGCAAGAGCCTGGCCAATTCAGCATTGAAAAAGCAATAAAGTACTTGGTTATTCCCAAAGAAGAAAGAATAAAAGATTCAACGTGAATACTTAACACGACCTTTATAGCAAGAATATAAGAGCTGGCTTTAAAGTCCCAGGGTGTTGGTGAAGAAGGGTGCGGCGGTTCAGAAGGGGGAGCAGCGCGGAGCCCGCGAGCGTGGCCGCTCTGTGTCCCGATGCCGCTTTGCTTTAAAAGACAGGTAAAGGATCCCTCAGCAGCGCACACGTCGCGGGGAAGCGATGGCAGCATCTTCCCCGTGTGCAGGAGAGACGCCTGCATTTTTTCTGGTGGCCTCTAGGGTGATACAAAATGATACAAAATGGTAGAATCTCTTGCTAAACTTACTTGCAGGTTGGTTTGAAACTAACAACAGTAACAAAATTTGTCTTGGTCATTTCCAGGCTGTCACTCAGACACAAGAGAGGGGAGGGAGAAAGCCTGTCATCAAGCCATGGATTTTTAATTCAAATGATAAAACTAAAACTTAATCCTCTATTATTTTTTTTCTTTGAAGAAAACATTGTCTTTAAAATCCTCATTTCAGAGGCTATAATGTGCATTCCGTACAAGTCCAAAGTAAATCACCACTTCAAATAAAAGTCACCATGTCAACTTCTGTGGGTATTCTTTGCAGAATATTAGTATTCCAGATTTCACAGGCTGACACAGTCTGCCAGGGTTCGGAACTACATCACTCCTCGGTCCAAGTCACTCCTCGGACACTCTCTTGCTGGAGCGGATGGCTCCCGCCGCGCACGCTGCAGCCCAGCACGTTCCACCTCAACGCCAGGCGGTGGCAGAGACCAAGGACCCGCTCCCTGCCCCGCAGCAGGGCCAGGAGCCCCAGGTGAGCGCGGCAGGGAGGGCAGCTCACCTGCCGGCACCTCATACCACGAGCAAGGAGCTCGCGAGGTCTGCGTGCATCTGGAGCGGGATGTTCTATTCACATGCAAGAGCTAAAAAAAACCTCTCCAGTGCCATCCGTAACAGCAGAGACACATACTGAAACCCCTTCCTGGAACTGCATCAGCAGACATTAATGCAGGGAGGTACCCGAGAGAGACAGAAAATGTACACTGCACCAGCATGGGCAGGACCAGCTGCGTTTGGAGCTCCAAGATCAACTATAAACATACACACCACCTTCTAAACAGATATTACGTAGTGAAAGAACCTCACGATTAAGCCTTACAAAAAACACTGAAAATTTTCATATATTGCCTAAAAAAAAAAAAAAGAACTTTTTCAAAAGGTTAACTAAAAATTTGTGCTGTGAACAAATGTGCATTTAATACAAAGGGCTCAGCAAAGAAGGATCATCCCACAGCATTTCAGTGCTTTTCAGCAGCTCCCAAGTGAATGCAGTTGACACTTGTTGCATGTTCACCTATGCTCGGTGTGTCATTCTATTAGGGGAGCATAGTCAACAAAAAACGTGTCAACTACTTCAAAATATGTGCATTATTACTAGTAGTTTTTTTAAAAGAAGCTGAGACAAAAAGCAACAATGAAAACCACAAACCCAGCGTCTGCAGTAAATGCTCTTGCAGGTCGCTGATTCTGCACAGGTTTCAAATACTACAGAGGGACGAAAGAGGAGGAGGGAATATTTGCTTTAATGAAAATGCCTTTTATTGAAATTAAGAGTGGAACATTCCCAATGGCTTTCACTTCTTCAAAAAATTCTTGTAACTGAAAGAAAAGTATCTCAAACTACAACCAGGGAGACTAAACCATAGTTCATGGAATCATAATCACAGCATATCATAATCACTGAATTCACCACAGGTTTATACAGGATTAACACCTCTTAGTGCATCTAATACTCCTTACCACAGTCTACATTTAAATAGTCTAGGAAGCAAGACATCTGTGTATATGATTAGAAAAACTATTTTACTACTGTATCAGACTTCTTATGATTTCAGCTGTAGCACTTATATTTAAAACTCCTACCAAAATATAGTACATAGAGGAACAATTCCATACGAAGTTACTATTTTACAGAGTTGACTATGCTCAATATTTTTGCTTATCCACTGTTTATTATTTATGATGGGCATGCTTTAGCTAAAGGTAGCAAATTTTGAAGAACAGATTGTATATATCTAAAATTGCAAGTATCTTAACAGTTATGCCTTAGAGACCAAAATAATATCAAGACAAGCAAATAGAAAAAAATTTAAACAAAGCAAAAATTCAGCTAACAGCAAATAATTAAACGTTAAACAAAGAGGCTTAGACAGACAACAGAGCTTACCCAACTAAGCCCTTAACAACTCCCCAACACAAGCAAATTACAAAGTGGGAAAGGAGAAAGGGATGCTAATAGCAAAGCACTGTGGCTAATATTCCAGATTTTGCTGAAACAGCTACTGTAACATACTGAGACCATAAAAAGTTTCAATTAGCGAAGAGATTTTGCCCATTTTGCTCTAGATAAGGGGTGATGAGTCTCGCGGGCAGGGGCAGCACCCTGGCTGCGCGGCACGGACGCCCTCGCGCAGCCCGCCGGGTCGCGCCACGCGCCGCAGCTCCCAGCCAGCGCGGCCGAGCACCACGGGCTCTGTGCTCGAAACGTGCATTCAGTAAGGCAGCCAGTGGCTAGTTCATGACACCATGCTCGCCAGGCATCTTAAGCCCAGAGAATCATACACACAAAAGGATTTTTTTCAGTTAAAGCAGCACTTACAACAATAAACAAGAGTAGACAGGAACAGACTGGTTTACACTGAATTTTGTTGTTTCAGTACAGATTAGCATTCTCCCAGTTTGTTGTTTCATCTGTCTTAAAATGAATTCAAGCGCTTAGCAAATGAATGGAAGTCTGTCTACATCTATAAATTTCACTGGAAGATCATTACATTTTCTTCCTTTCTAAAGGAAGAAACAACCGAAATTTCGATGTCCTCTCCCCCGCAGCACAGCCCAACCCAAAACAAACACAGGCTCCCATTCCTTATTCCGCGTGTTGCTCATCGTATAACATGCAGCCCAGCTCCCACTGTGCGGAAACAAAAGGTCCTACATTTCGAAGGGCAGGCATAACATGCAAGAACTCCAAATACATTATTGCCATTAAAACAGCGTGCAGTATATTGAGTAGGTCTGTGTTGGTACAAACTTGCTTCTGAAATGAGCAGCCTAAAAGAGAAGATAACTGATCAATTACTCCTGTGACTAGCCAGTAATGACACAGAAGCGGGGAGCCGCAGGAAGCATGGCCAGGGATGGGTAACACGTTAAGCAGCAGCAAACGCGTGTCACGATAACCGGGCGCTTGGGAACCCAATCAAGAGCAGTCACCTTCCCACTCTGAAGATCACCTCAACTAGGCAAGGCAGAGGAAACAATGTGCAGAAAGCAAGCAAAACCAACGAACGAGAGCAAAAACTTCTTACAAAAAGTAAAGGTTAGTATCTCATTCCTGGCTGTTTCATCCATTAGACAACATGTCATAAAGAAAAACATATTCTGTACTGATAAGGCACAAGTATTCAATAAATAGATTCAAATATTGTAAATAGTATCTATCATGCAAACGACACTGAGTTTGACAGCCAGTCCTGTATTTGATAGGCACTCTGCCTGCAACTCTGATGTTTCCCAAAGAATCAGCGCAGGCCGCGTTCTCCCGCAACAGGAAAGGGGATCTCCTCCACACCTAGCCGGGATCATCCCACGAAGGCTACGGGAAAGTACTTCTGTTTAAAAAGCTCCAGTTCTTAACTCCTAACAGATGTTGGCAAGCTCAGTTCTACAATATACATAATAAAGCGAATGACAAAGCCTAGGGCCTTTTAACACCAATATACAAAGACACGTTTTCTTGCGTTACTGGAGCCTAATCAGTACCATGTCTTCTAAGCTTATGGAAAAAATCATCCATGACTCAAGATAACGGGGGGAGGTGGAGGCAGGCGAGTTAACTACGCAGCCATCACGCCTAGCAGGCGTTGGGAAAAATCTCCATCACCTCCAACGTAATAAAGAAGTTTGGCATCTACGCTTGTTGGATAAGCCGCATCCACCTAAGCTTTAAAATAAAGGCAAAGCAGATGATCTCATTTGCACGCAGGCAGCAGCGCCCGCCCTTGGGGGCTGCTGGGGGCGCGGGCCGGCGCGGGGCCGCGGCGCCCGGCGGCTGCAGCGCGGGGCTCGCTGGGG